TTCCTCTATAAACCAAGACTTTTCCAGTCAACATCAAGATTTTCTAAAATCAATGAAGAATTATATATTTGTAAAATTATCAATAAAAACAGAAAAAATAATAACATAAAAACACCCATTAAAAGAGTACTTCCCCAGCCCGGAGCTACTCTTCCATATTCTGAATTTAAAGGTCTTAAAATTTCTCCTAGTCTAGTTTTTAATGCCATATTTGAAGTTGTTATTTAAATAGTTAATTAAATAATTACGTCTATATATTATAATTATAATATTTATTGACTTAATTTACACAATAATATAAAATCTATCATTTACAACTTCTTTTATGGAAACTGCAACTACTTTTAGCATTTTTATTTGCAGCTTATTAGTTGGAATTACATTATATTCTGTATATGTGTCATTTGGTCCTCAATCCAAAGAGCTAAAAGATCCCTTTGAAGAACATGAAGATTAAAAAAGTGGATAGTCATAACTATCCACTTTTTTAATCTTTTTTTGGTTTATTAGCTATTCTTGGAGGATCTCTAAAAAATATAGCAAAAAATAATACCATTAGCGTACCTGTCAATAGAAAAATATAAACTAAAGCTTCCATTGTTTCCTCCTAAATTCACCGATAAATATTGAATTTCAAATTATTATGTAATCTTATACAAGACCTTGTTTTTTAGTACTTTTATCTCCTAATTTTTGAAATACTCCAAATTCTACTTGTTCTGTAATCTCGGGATTAATTCCTGCAAATACATCTCTAAATATTGTTCGTGAGCCGTGCCATAAATGACCAAAAAAGAAAAGTAAAGCAAAACTAACATGACCAAAGGTAAACCAACCTCTAGGACTTGTACGAAATACTCCATCTGATTGGAGTGTAACTCTGTCAAATTCAAAAACCTCACCTAATTGAGCTTTTCTAGCATATTTTTTTACATTTGCTGGATCTGTAAAAACTTGACCATTTAACTTACCACCATAAAAACTTACAGTAACACCAACTTGCTCAATACTATATTTGGATTCAGCACGCCTAAAAGGTATATCTGCTCTCACAACACCTTCTTTATCAACTAAAATAACTGGAAAAGTTTCAAAAAAAGCAGGCATTCGTCTTACACTTAACTCTCTTCCCTCACGATCCACAAAGACCGCATGTCCAAGCCAAGCTTCAGCAATACCATCTCCTTTATTCATAGGACCTGCACGAAATAATCCACCTTTAGCAGGATTATTACCTATATAATCATAAAATGCTAACTTATCCGGAATTTTTGACCAACTTTCAGAATAAGATAAACCTTGACTCAAATAATTATCCACTCTTCTTTGTATTTCTTGTTGAAAATAACCACTATCCCACTGATACCTTGTCGGACCAAATAATTCAATTGGAGTAGTCGCTGAACCATACCACATCGTTCCCGCTGTAACAAAAGCAGCAAAAAAGACAGCAGCAATACTACTCGAAAGAACTGTTTCAATATTACCCATTCTCAATGCCCTATATAATCTCTGAGGTGGTCGAACACTTAAATGAAAAATACCTGCTAATATGCCTATGATCCCTGCTGCTATGTGATGCGAAGCTATACCGCCTGGATTAAAGGGATTAAATCCTTCTGGCCCCCAAGATGGTGCCACTGGTTGAACTTTACCTGTAAGACCATATGCATCTGAAACCCAAATACCAGGGCCGAATAAACCTGTTATATGAAATGCTCCAAAACTAAAACATAATATTCCAGAAAGAAATAAATGTATGCCAAAAATTTTAGGCAAATCTAGAGAAGGTTCACCTGTTCTAGGATCGCGAAATAATTCCAAATCCCAATATACCCAATGCCATATTGCAGCTAAGAATAATAAGCCAGATAAAATAATATGTGATAAAGCAACCCCCTCAAAACTCCATATACCTGGGTTAACTACACTTTCACCAGTTACGCTCCATCCTCCCCATGAATCAACTACTCCTAAACGTGTCATAAAAGGCATAACAAACATTCCTTGTCTCCACATTGGATTTAATACAGGATCGGACGGATCAAAAACGGAAAGTTCATATAAGGCCATAGATCCTGCCCATCCTGATACTAAAGCTGTATGCATTATATGTACTGCAATCAGTCTTCCAGGATCATTTAAAACAACTGTATGAACTCTATACCAAGGTAGTCCCATTGACTACAATCCTCCTTAATTTTGATTATGTAATATTATTTTTCTCATATTGTAATATAAAATACTAAAATATCTCTATAAATATATATTATACATTTACTTTAGTTTTTTTACAATTAATCTTATATTTATAATATAAACTGACAAATCAAAGATTAATAGACAATAAAATAAGTTTTGCAAATTTAACTTGCCCCAAATAGTATCCATAATATATGGAATATTATTATGGTTTAAATCTAGATAAAAATAACGTATTCCTTCAATTGCAAAGCTTAATGGATTAATACTAGATATTATTTGTAACCATAAAGGCATAAAAGATAAAGGAGCTAATGCTGTACTAGAAAATAATAAAGGTAGATTAAAGATAAGAATTAATGCAAGAAATTCAATATGACCAGGAATAACAAAAGCCAAAGATAAACTTATAGCAGTTATTCCAATAGCTAATAAAGATATTATAAAAATAATCATCAAAAATTGATAAATAGATAATATTCTTGCTTCAATAAAAAAACTTAAAAAAATAACTACAATTGCCTGTAATATACTTATTATGAGCATAAAAATCATGGAGGAAATAATAATAGAAGATTTAGATATCAGTGGAGCCACAAGTAAACGATTAAAAAATCCAAATTCTCTATCAAAAATTATTGTTAAACCAGAATTGAGAGCTCCCGAAAAAACAGTAAAGACTATAATTCCTGGTATTAAAAATTGGGTATAAGAATGTGTTATAACAAACAGTTGGACAGGTATATTTCGAAATAAAGCACCAAAAAGTATAAGCCACAAGATAGGTTGTATCATTCCAGTAAAAAAAGTAATGGGTCTACGTATTGTTTGTATAATAAAACGTTTATTTAAAGCTAAAATTTCTTGGAATCGTTTATTTATATTATTTTTATTTAAATTTAACTTAAAATTTGGTTTAAGTATCATTGAACTATCATATAAATTCATTGTTTATTGTTTAGCTAAAAAATATATAAATTATTCAAATTTAACTATATAAACATATAAGAAATAATTAATTATTATATATAATATACAAAAAATAAATTAATACATTAGATTATATTAGAAATAATTATAATTATTACAATTATAAACAAAGGGTAGTTATGGCATCATATAAAATTCATTTAGTAAATAAAGACCAAGGAATAGATGAAACTATTGAGTGTCCTGATGATCAATATATATTAGATGCAGCTGAAGAACAAGGATTAGATCTACCCTATTCTTGTAGAGCAGGAGCATGTTCTACTTGTGCAGGTAAACTGTTAGAAGGACAAGTAGATCAATCTGATCAGTCATTTCTAGATGATGATCAGGTAAAAGCAGGATTTGTCCTAACATGTGTTGCATATCCTACTTGTAATGCAACAATTTTAACTCATCAAGAAGAATCATTATATTAAACTTTATAAACTTTAAAAAGGGAAATAAAATGATTCTTCTTGATGAGTTAAAATTGTTGCATTACAAGTAGGATATGCAACACATGTTAGGACAAATCCTGCTTTTACCTGATCATCATCTAGAAATGACTGA